CCCAGTCCCGTGCCCAGTCCAGTGCCCAGTCTCGGTCCCAGCCCCGTGCCCAGTCCCGTGCCCAGTCCCGTGCCCAGTCCCGTGCCCAGTCCCGTGCCCAGTTCATCCTCGCTTGAAAGAGGGGAGATCTCGCTTACCGGGATGGAAATTTCTTCATATAAACACTCACAAGCGGGCTAACTCGGTTGCCGGGATGAAAGTTCAAAGATACCGCCGCAAGCTATTTTTAACAACTGTCAAAACAATACAATGTAACAAAATTGTCCCAGCAAGCGGGATGAAATTTTCTCATATAAACACAAGAGAAATAGTATTTCCTCGGAAGGTACTTACCTGAATGGGATATATGGTTCTCCGAACTCCTTCGAAGACTGATACGAGCAATACTGGTGCAGTTCGCGGCGCGCGACGGCTTGGAACCCACGATTTTAAATATTAATTCATGCGTATGCGTACTGACATCCTCTGATTGAGTGGCAAGCTGAATGTTGATTAACAGACTAGGGTGGGGTGGTATATGTATCTACCGCCACTGGTATGGGGACCAGTATTGCTCGTATCAGTCTTCGAAGGAGTTCGGAGAACCATATCTCCCCTTCAGGTAAGTACCTTCCGAGGAAATACTATTTCTCCTTCACTCCTTCTCCGACTGATACTCGCAATACTGGTGCAGATTTCAAAGACAAGTGTTAATCAATGTAAATATAAAATTTTAATCTGAAATGAGCACAAAACAATATCAACAACACATTTCCAAAAGTTGTTAACTAATGTAACTTGGAATGCAAACAGTAATGTCATTTTTGTACGTCCGGGACCAAAATACTTTTAGCAATTGAAACTTATCCTTTGAGATAGCCTTGTGGTAAAATCTCTCGAACGTTGTTGCTGACAGCAGCAGCTATGATATCCTCAAGATGAACACCGCTCTCGGCAGCCATTGATGTTGCTGCAGCTCGCGTAGTATGACCCGTGTACCTCAATGAGCATCAATACCTGCAGTGGACAATACAGTGCGTATCCAGCGTGATACAGTCTGACTTCCAATAGCCGAGTGTGGCGAGGTATACGACACGAGTAGATGCTGGTCCTTGCGAATACGAGCTGTTCGATTAACGTACTGTTTCAGACTCTCAATAGCACAAATCTTTTGGTTTTCTAGTAAGGATGGAAGATAAATCTTTCTTGCTGGGTGATTCGGCCGAGAATTCTTTACATGTTTAGGTATTACAAACTCCCAACCGTTCTCCTTTTGGGATACATAATCCAAGTGCAATGCTGCGAGTTCGTGAGCCCTGGCTGAAGATGTAAGCGCCAACAGGATTGTCGTTTTAATTAAGAGTCAACTCTTTAAGTGAGAGGTTCTCGTTTGGTGCCATATTCTTTAAATGCTCTAATAATGTCCCAACTGACCAGGTTACGCATATCTTGGGTATTGGTGGATGAAGTTCAAAGATACCTTTCATAAAAGGGGAAAAAAGCGAAATAGTTCCCAGTGGTTGTCCATCTATTGGATCATGTAGTTGAGATATGCATGATTTGTAAACACCGATCGTTCGGTACGAAAGCTTTCGAGTATGAAACTGTTCAGTCAAAAACTGTAAAACTTCTGCCACAGTGGCTAAAAATGGACATTGATTCCGTGAGACACATAAGCTAGTTCAAAGTCTCCAAGGACCTTCATATCTCTTTTTCGTTCCTTCTCTCCAGGAGGCCATAAGGTTGTCACAAAATTGCAGTGGAAGACCTCCTGCTCGACAAAGTTCCCTGAAAGTGGCCATACCGCCAGCTTCATTGTTCTCCACAGAGGGTGTTGCACTTCCCGGTCGAAAGGTAGATACAGACTTGTTTCCGTCATTGGAAGAAGGGACGGAATGTTGACCAACATCTCCAATAGTAGCGGATACCATGTCTGGCCCGGCCTGTTCGGGGCAATGAGTAGACAGGTTGCCCAATCTTCTCGTATCTTCTTCAGAATGCGGAGAAGCATTATAATTGGCGCATGAATAAACGATGTCCATCTGTTCCACCGTAATGTCATTGCATCGACTTCCATTGCACCCGGGTCTGGGTGCCGGGAAACAGAGAGGGGTAGTTGATGATTGAGCCGAGATGCACACAAGTCGACTTGTGGAGTGTCATACTTTGTGACTATACGTGTGAAGACCAACTTGTCCAGAGTCCACTCTGTGCGTTCGTTGAAGTGACGAGAAGCCCAATCGGCATCGACATTCTGTACTCCCGGAAAGTGTTGTGCTGGTATCCATATTCCTTTCTGTTGACAAACGTTCCAAATTTCGACTGCCAAGGCTGCTAAAGTCGAAGACCTGGCTCCCCCTCTCTTGTTGACATATGCAACTGCTGTAGATTTGTCCTTCTGCAGACCAATATGTTGTGGCATTTTTACCTGTGTCGTCAGAAAAGACTGGATGGCCAGAAGGGCTGCTTTCATTTCGAGAATGTTGATGTGTTGTCTGGATTCTTGGATGTTCCATTGTCCCCCTGTCATGATTCCGTTGCACTGTGCTCCCCATCCTTGATTGGACGCATCGGTGTAAATGACCAGGTCCAACTCTGGTAGTGAAATTAAGCACTTGTTGAACTGATGTATCTGCGTTGAAATCCACCATTGGAGGTCGGTTAATAATGATTCTCCTGTTAGATAGACCTTTGTCTTGTTTGAGAGACGTTTGCTCTGGTGAATGCTGTTGATATGTTGCCTCTGTAGCGCACGATAATCCAAAGGTCCCTGAGCTAGACCCACTTGGGAGCAATGGTTCATTATGGCTAAGCTGAGGAACTGTCATATAATGACTCCTCGGGAAATGATGGCTAATTGAGCTTGAAAGGACATAAGAGTAGTCACACTAAATTAGATTTTAATGGCTTATTGGCACTGACTCTTACTATATCGCAAAGTATTTTAATAGATCGTATTTAGCCTACAGCCTGTCTATCTTCCCAAAGATTTTTCTCTAGTAAGTAAATGATAGTAAAAAAATTATTCTTTATTCTTGCCCAGTCCCCCGCGCATCCTCCTTGCAGAATTTCTACATTTTGGGTGCAAAAAACTTTCGGTTAAGTGATTGAAATATGTCAATTTCACCATATCAACTTGATTGCTAGAGTTTGGCAAAATTTCAAATTTTGGACAGCTAACCCCCAGACAGCTCCATCTCAGACAATCGCGTGCAAAAATAACGAGACTTTTCATATTTGGGCATTTTACAGTACGTTGTCTCCCACCCTGCCCCCATGATCAATGTTGGAAAAAGTGGGTTGAATTTTCTCTTTTCGGCAGTCATTCACACAACATTGAATTGGGGGTGAGGGTGCATTTATGCGGTTGTCTCAACAATTATTGCTCCTGATTGTAGCCGTCCCTAGGTCATATACCCTAGGCATGTTCGCAGATCACGAAGTCTTCGTGGAATCTCTCGGAGCTATCAATGACTTCCTAGAAAATGAACGAAATTTACTTGATGTCTTTTTTGCAAGCTGACAGAGCTAACAAAATAGCTGTGTCGGACAAATAGCATTGGTACGTCAAAACAAATACACACATATCAGCGCGCAATAGGTAATAAACATGCATTCGCTCGCGTACGATTGTTGCATGAGTTAAAATTGAAATTATCTGTATTTCTTGTCTACAGATGGCTAATAAACTGGACGACCGTCCTTACCTTGTGCTTTTTCCTGTATTGGTTTATCCATTTAAAGCTTCTTCTGTGATCACAGAAACTTTGATAGTGTAAACCGGGCTTTGTATAGTCTGATGATGATTTTATAAACTCCAAACACTGTGTCTGTGATATTTTGGGTAATCGTTCCATGTTTCGCGCACCAATATAGTAAACGTTATGTAATGGATATTATAGTGTACTGAAAAGTTAACTGGATACCTCCATACAGGTATATACATACCCTAACCCTATCCCTAACCTTAAACCTAACCCTAACCCCTAACCCTAACCTAACCCTAATACCTAACCCCTAACCCCTAACCCCTAACCCTAACTTATATTTGGCTACCTCTTTCGGAAAAAAACAATGGCCTATACAACACACGATCAGTGAAAAACTTTTGACAATAATTTCCATAATTTTAGACAATACTGTTAAAGTCATTAAAATTCCTTCAAAACTGTTTTTATTTATTTTGATGCCCTTTTGAGTTTTGTGAAAAGGGCGAGCATTTTCTACATGGGGTCATGGTCATTAGGAGGCTGATGATGAACGGATGAAATTAGTATCAGTTATCACCTGCAGTAACGTAGCCAGCCCGACGATTTAATTAGTTCCGCTATGCAAATATTTTCGTATTCATTGACTGTGGAAACAATCAATTTGTAAAGAAATGAATAATGATAATAATTTTAAATGAGACTAAGTTGTCTGGTTCGCAGGGCCGCCCAGAGGTTGGCGGGGGCCCGGGGCAAATTTTTTTTAGGGGCCCCTATCTAAAAAAATTTTCCAACAACAACCTCCCCCCCCGCCAAAAAATTTTCGGTCAGTGTACCATTTTAGGGGTAAAACATTTTTTCCGGAGTACAAAATTTTTCCGGACGAGTACGTTGCAATTGCTTTCCAGGGACTTTATCTCATTTTTCTATACCAAAATTCGGTATTTTCTCCTTTGCGCGGAAATATTTAACACACAAAAAAGGCTGGGGCCCAACAAAAATTTTTCAGGGGCCCCCAGCAACTCGGGGCCCGGGACAATTTGCCCCCTTTGCCCCCCCCCCCTCTGGGCGGCCCTGCGGGTTCGTTACGCCACTGTTCACCTGTGCAAGACAGCTAGAACCAAGAACGACGCTCTTTTACATGCGGATCAAGATTATTAGGCAAGAATTATATCGGGAAAAAATGTCGCAAGGCCATTTGAGGTAGGGGTCAATCATTTTATATTTTTATATGAAAAAGTTGATTGATGCATTTCATTATTTATACTTATTATAAATATTCTAAGGTTTCAGCGTACTTGCATGGGATAATGTAAAATTCTTGTAATCGCATGTAGGGCCTAGAATTTAAGTTAGTTGATCGTTCGGTGCATTCTGGCAAAGCAGAACATCTCTTGAACAAAACTTTGAACAATATTTTGAACAATATTTCAGTGGAACATGTTTTTTTTTAATTTCATCAAATTCAAAATTTATTATAATTTTTTGATATCACCTGTCTAAAACTAATTTAGGTTAGATTATTCCTGTTTAAACTTTCCTCCCTTGAGATCCAGTATAATCATTGGTTATATAGAAATACAGTAAACGCCACTATTTTGTTGGGTTACCATTACTACAAAAGCATATCTAAACTAGAGTAAACTAAGTAATAATTCCACGTTTAGCAATAATGCTGCTGAGCATCTTAGTCAAGGACCCACAAGCATGCCACCTGCAATCTCTACGATGGAATATCTAATGAAAATGACCATTTTCTGCAGGGAACATATAAAGCATTAGACGGTAAAATAGGCGTCACAAATTTCAATTATATATCAACAACAGTTATTGTGACGCCAAATGCTTGGTTACGAATGTAAAAAATCCTAAAACAACGACGAACATTAAAGGATTAGTGTCAGGGTCATGCATTGCGGGCTTTTGTTATTGTAGCGATAAAAATACCTTGTTTGTTGCATTTCTGATAAAAATCACACAAAAACAGCAAAGATTAGAAAAGGATGGTTTAAATATATGACAGATTGTAAAAACTTTCCAGATCATCTATCTATTCGTCCCGAAAAATGGCCGCCAGCAGGAGTTTGAGCCCGCGAATTCCTGGTGTGACACTAATCCTTTAATTTCAACACTTTACACAGACAGTTTACAGGTAGACAGGCAGGTACAGGCAGGTTGAAAAGGCAATGAAACCGTTTTGAACCTCAACTGAAAGCGAAAATTATAGGAAAAGAAAAAACGCAGTAAAACTTTATTATATATACATCACGTTGTATTCGTCTATCCCCGCAGCAAGCGAAGGCTTGCCAGGAAATTGATAAGATTTGACTTTGATATCTATTTTGCATGCTGACAGAACAAAGAGAACAGTTGTCCGGGACATATGGCGTTGACACATCAGCGTCAAAATGTAATATTATTGCCCCCCCCCCCGAACTTTATTGAATTTACAGTGCATGGTTTGCATTTTACAAGAGTTTAGAACATGTTTACTCGAAACCAAGTTGCACGCACTCGTTCCTGATAGACGTGGGAACTTAGTCAATTATATATACTCTTCGTAATAGTAATAATAATAATATAATAATATATAATAATAATAATAATAATATAATAATAATAATTAATAATTGAACGAGTAAGCTATTCTAAAACTCTAGGCGTTGTTATAGATGAGAATCTTACTTGGGAAAGGCAAATCGGAAACATACAGACTAAAATTTCAAAAGGTATCGGCATGTTACGGCGAATGAAAAAAATAATTCCTAAAACAACATTGAAAAAAGTATATAATGCCATTATATTACCACATTTCGACTACTGCAGCCTTGTTTGGGATAATTGTAGTGATTATTTAATTGACAAACTTCAAAAACTGCAAAACAGAGCGGCACGTGTAATCACTGGCAGAACATACGAAACAAGATCACGCGATGTTTTAAAAGAACTACATTGGCAACCCTTGAAAGAACGCCTTAAGCACAAAAAACTATTTTTTATGCATAAAGTAAGGAATAATGAACTGCCAATTAGTATGATGAATATGTTTGATATTAAAACAAACTCTCGGTATAACCTCCGTAGCAACAATCGAGATTTCACCCTTGACAAACCAAGTACAAATTTTTTGAAGAAAAGCATAAACTATACAGCCTCTTCGGCCTGGAATAATTTGCCTCTTGAGGCTAAAGGTTCAGGAATTACTAGTCAGAAATTCAAGTCCATTCTTGATCATTATTCCTCGCGTTAAAGTGTATGCACTTAACCTAAATTTAATTAGTGCATTCGTTTGTAAGGGGGAGGGGGGGGGGGGAGGGTTAATCGTCTTATATTGCTATATATGCATGCCTGTAGTTCTACTTATCTGTATTGTACTGTATATTTATATTATGTAATATTTTTAACCAAACGGCCTCTTGAAAAACAGGTGCGTAAGTGCCCTGAAGAGCTACCGTTTCCAAATATGATTAAATAGTAAAATAATAATAATAATATATATGATTAAATAATAATTATGATAAATTCAAAATTTGCCGCGAATTTATCATAATGATAAATTCGGACGTGTTTAAGAATTTACTCGTATAGTAAATTCAAAGGTGGAGTTCATGCTGGATATATCAAACGCATCTGATCGGTTAATGGTCCCTTAATGGTAGAGGTAGTGGAAGTCCAATCTGAACTTCCCTAACGGCAACTATCGAGACCAACTAACGATGCATAACAGCTTGATCTATACTGGCAAAGGTTCTCCTCCGTCTAAAATTCGTCTCGAATTATGAAATTTTTTCGACGTTTCGTCGAATGCCCTTTCTCGTGGTGATTCTTTGATCTACTATTTATACACATCGTCCATAAGACGAACATTCACCGATGCTCCGCCTGTTCTGCGCATTGTCAATTGTTTCTGTCAACACCCTGGCTAGGCCTCTGTCATACGCAGACCATGTCAAAATAACGGCGAGGCACAGGAAACGCAAAGGGATGGTATCACCCATCCGTAATATTCGGACTTACACATTTACTTTTTGATAGGCGAAACGATCGTTAAAGAACATCCTTCAAAAGTGCACGCATCTACCGGCGCTGGAACCTCTACTTCACGATGCCCCACCCAACATTCTAAAACACGTGGTTGGCCAGTTTGCTAAAGTGTTACCTCATGATAGTAAAGCGCGGAGAGTGTTCGTTACAACCGGAGGGTTGAAGAAAGTTCAGGAAATTAAAGCAGATCCTGCTTCAGCACTTCATGAACATATCACCACCATCAACAGTTGTTATCCTGAGGAAATTGTCAGGTATGATTTTACGCTTGTTAGGCATGTCAGAGTCTTCACCTCGTCCGCCCTCGAAGGCAAACGGCAGAATTGCGCGATATTTTATAGAGCAAGTAGGTGGGGCAAGGAATCGTGAGGGATAACTGGTGCAAGTCAGAGAATAACCAGAGTTCTGATTCTGGCAAGCGTTGTGCAATTCTGCCATTTACAGGATTGCTTTCGACGAGCCTATCAGCGACTAGCGATATGTGATTTTTTAAGGTTGCAATGGATAATCTCATGATAGTGTTCCCTAGGAATTTTTCTTTTGTTCCCTTGTTCCTTGTTTTGGCTTTGTTCCCATTGCAAAACATACCATGTTCCCTGGGAGACCTTCAACTTTGTGAATCATGTAATTAATATTCAGTTAGCTATCTCTGTATTAACTGTAGCCTGTGAATGTATTTGGCTAAAAGCAATGCTTCTCGGTAGTTAACTTCTCACATATCACCTACAAGATCATAAATGATAATTTTTGTTTTTCCTCAGATATTATTCGCCTGGTTATTCAGAGCAACTACTGGAGAGAGTGGAACAATATCAACCTGTAATTTAATGTACTTCTCATGTTTTATCTTACTCGCTTTAGAATAATGCTAACGTTTGTTAGGTATATTGTATGGTGCACAATTTGTAAATAATAAAACTCTCAGACTGTTCTTTATATGTTTATAATATGGTTCGTACTAAATAGTTAGCTATGAATAAGAACGGTATTTTCTGCAAGATGTTTAGTAAATGGTCCAATTCATACTAGAGAATAATACTAATGTCTGTTGTTCATCCTGAAGCCGGTTTTCCACTAGGCGGAATTTTTGGCACGGAGCGGAATTTTTCTTTGTCTTGTGATTTCTCGGGTGGAACTAATTAGAAAAGACAAAGAGCAATTCCGCTCCGCGCGCAAAATTCTGCCTAGTGGAAAACGGCCTTAAATTAGGACACGTTAGAATATCCTAAATTGAAATATTTGAATGCGAAGTAGTACAAAATCGTGACGAGGTTTGTCGATTCCTGTGTCAGACTTATACAGTATTGAAGTATTACTTGAGAAGTTTATATGCCTTGGGCTATTCCTTTTAAGACGCACCCCGCCCCTTCCTATTGAGGACAAGGGTTTTATTATATCGCCAAAAAAAATCCCCTAAAAAGATAAAATCCCCTAATAAAAGAAATCCCCTGAAGAATTCCTGATATTAGACATGAAATTTTATCCCTGAAGAAGTTGCACGTGATCCCTGGAAAAAATCTCGTTCAAATTACCCAACCCTGACGAAATCCATGATTGTAAAATTTGTTTATCCCCCTGAAAAATACCGGGGGGAGAGGTACGGATATTAAATTGAATAATAATTTAACTCTCAGTTATACGCCAAGGATCAAACGAGGATGAAAATGCACGAGAGTTGGCAGTCACGGGACCTAGTTAGCTGTTCTTAATGCTTTCCCAATACTATCATTCATTGTATAAGTTAAAACATAGTTGGAACACTCATAAAACCTTTTTAACTCATTAGCCAAGACTTCTCGTTCTTCATGATCATATACACACGGCCTTGTTCTTTATAGAACGCTCATTAATAACATGTTTAGATTTTTACAGGATTATAATTACATCTTAATTTTACACGTGAAACACGATTTGTTAGTGATTTCTATAGCGAGTGCATAACATTTTGTACATTATACGTATCTATGATACTTTGTATCTATGATACTTTGATAGTCAATTTACACGTATCTTCGATACAAATCAATTATCTTTTCCCAAGACCTGGTCATATTCTAACAATATAAATTCAACTATTTGGTTTTGGTATACTGTATTGAGAGCTATGCTACCATGTTGTTCTTCGCGTGGTGCTAAAAGCGTCGGACCAAACACGATAGCAATGTTGTGTGCGTGCATTCGGTTCTTATTACTGTTCTCCATTACCCTGAAAATAGAAATGAACAAAGTTGATTACAGATGAACTTTACTAAGCTAAAAAACATGTGAATTACCGCGAATACGTCATTAAGCTCCCAGGGGATTGTTGGAGAGAAGTGCCTCATGACTTTCATGAAGGAGGGGATCGTCTTCGGGGGTGTTCGTATGGAGCCGGGCTGGTCCGGTCGTTTAATAAAGCTCTTGTCAAGACTTGATAATTATCCAAAAGGAGATGTCAAGGTTGAATTAGCTTAGTTTGATTCCAGTACAATAAAGTTCATTCAAACGATCTTTTATGGTCAGGAAAAAAAATTTCGTGACAACGATTCATCCCGGCTGGCCTGCCTCATAGGAACAGCCCCTTGGTGTAGCTGAAAGTAAACGCTTAAACGGCATTGGCAATAAAAATCAGTTTAGTTCATTTGAAAGAACTCTTAAAACTATATATTAAACTCTATTACAGATTGTTTATATCTTGCTTAGTTTTCAAAATGATCAATATAGGTCCAGAAGTTCGTTTCTGGTTGCTGTCTGAAATTTAGAAATGATTAAAAACATTTCAAACAATTTTGGATTGTTACTCGGTCATTTTATAGTAGTTTTATATGGTTGACCCAACTCCTGACGTCATCAAAACCATAGTTAATGAGGTCAAGAATTGGTCCAAGATGGCGGACAGCTCATTAATTTCGGTCTAAAAAATATTTCGAGAACTAAGCAAGATATGACAAATCGGTAACAGAGTTTAATATATAATTTTAAGAGTTCTTTTGAATAAGACAAACTCATTTTTTATTGCCAATGTCCTTTTTATATAGAGGAAGAATTAATAGGCAGTTGTATAAGTCCTCCTGAGTTTCTCTCCTTAGAAGTCCAGTCCCTTACTAGACTTGTTCCAAGTCTCTCTCTGTGTCGGCGCCTCTATGGTCGGCGCACTATATTGGCCATAGTCTATCCATTCTCGTTCCCAGAGCCATTTTCACTCGGTTACTCGTTGAAAATTAGGCTCTGGGTTAGACGACTTAAGGGATAGATCTGATTGGGTTCTCAGAGAACTGCTATTTCCCAGAAGTTGAGCAGTTTTTACTAGCCAAAATTATTCTATCAAAATATGTCAACACAAATACTTCGTTGCTTCGTAATACTTCTCTCAGTGAAAATTGTTACGGGTGCTAAAACGTCCCAATTCAAGAGTATGCGCTTTAGAAACTACTGAAGTTTTCTTGCACTTCCGGTTCCGTGTTTTCTTTGTTTGCAATCACGTGACTTTTCATCCAGATGACGGGCAATCAAACAACTTGTGGACGATTTTTCTCCTATCAGAATGGTTGTAACATGTAAAACTGAACGGTGATTCATCTTTCGAGTCTTAAACTGTCTCTAAACTCGATTAATACATTAAAATCGCCGTTTTTTGTTATAGCTGCCCGTCAACTGAAATTCCAAAATTACGTCATCGCAAACAAAGAATCCCAGGGCCTTGGGCCTATGAAGGTCGCGCGCGGCCGAGAGCCCCTAAGAACGAGGATGTAGTCTATCAAGATATGATGGTCTGGAAACTAAACAGAAGTGTTTATTATGTTTTTGTCGGCGTTTATGTTAATTTGTGCATGGTCATGGTGATTGAGCTCATTGTATTTTCGTATAATGAAGTAACCGTCCAATAGGGATAGCTGAGATGAAAGTGCAACCAGGATGAATAGTATTTAATGAAGTTGAGACAAAGGATTTGTGCACGGTGAGGTGCAGTTCAACATCAAACAAAGGTCTTTTATTTTGTGGCTTTGAAGTTTCCCGGGATTCCCGACCATGATATCTTGACGGACTATAACACTATATGATATTGCATTTATTGCATCTAATATTGCGCCGACACTTGGTGCAAGTCTAGTACCTTACTTGATCTGGAAAATTTTTTACCTCTTTAAATGTCTGTAAAGATATCGAAATGTTTCACAATTGGGCGAAGGAAGTTTGTTAACATGTGTTCGAAGAGCAACAGTTTTCTCTTGCTTTGTCGATAATTCTGTAACACAACATAGTGGTTTTAATATAGCCTAGTTTCCATTTGGTCGTTAGTTGTCGCTGGCACGACAAGTGCCTGATGTAATAGAGTGTCAACAAAACTTTATAAAACTCTGCAATCATTAAGACTAATTTGCATATAACACACAAAAAGACTATTGATATTAGACTATTTCACATCTACCGCTTGTCGTTCCAGCGACAACTAATGACCAAATGGAAACTAGGCTTATGTGTACATTAGTGAACTGAGATTGAGATTTAACGATTAATTTTGAAAACTTTCAACAGCTCTGTTTACTCTTGTTATCATTTATCACTGTGCTCCATAGAGCATAGGGCGAAAATAGAGCATGTGGCGAAAATATTTTTATCTATTTGGGAACCAACTAAAAATATGTAAAATTTTCTGGGAGTATATTAGTCATTAAGCCAATTTTTAAAATTTTTAAAATGAGAGCGCAAAAGAATAACAATTCGACAATCCTTGTGTTTTGGAGTAAGTAACAGACTAGTAGGGTTGCTGAATAGACCAAATATGAAACATGCAGTGGTTTAATCTCGAAAATCTTCTGCGAGATAACAAATTGACCAAAATTTTCTGGCGACCTAGTTTCCCAGTTCCACCACATTTTCTCCCTCTGCCATAAAGGCCCATGCAGTGACGAGCCATCTCTCAAATGGCCCAGTATCATAACACAAGGAGACTGAAGTAAACTTGAAGTGTTTGGTAAAGTCAAACTGGATTTGAATTGCAACATAGTGCGGGATTAACGTCAATTACGGTCATTTAGCTAGACTATACACTCGTTACTTTGGTCACGTGATTATATCACTGTATTAATTATACTCACTTATTGCGTTAACGAAATGATCATAGGCGTCGAAGGGAATTAAAGGTTCAGGCAGTTCTCTGAAGTAAAGTTTCAAGGTGCCAGATAACACATGAACATCGTCAAATGGACGTTCACCAAACTTCACGTTCTCCTCTATAAAGATAAAAAGTAGAGTATAAACTATTCAGAGGTCCGACTGAAAACATTCAAACTGGCGGGAATGAGTGCCTCCCGTCAGCGCACTGGCTATATAGGAACATGGCGACTGCAAAGTTGGACCTCTGGCGCATGCCGGCAGGTATAAGCATATATATAAAGCATATATAAAGTAAAGCATATATACTCTGTAAAGCATATTTTATATACTCTGCGCGCGAGACTCGAACGCGCTTAAAACTCTTGGCAAACTAAGATAAATTGTTGCAGAAAAACTGCAATGTTGCCAAAGGAGGGCACACCACGAAACATTGTTTCTGCAACAAAATCACACTTGGGAAACAAAAAGGTTCTCTAAATTTGTAAGGAAGCGGTTTTGTTCTTTGGGAAGCAGAAGTGCTGCAGTAGGGTTTCCAAAGAGTGGGGAAACGGGGAAAGATTAGATGATCCAAACATTAAGATCTTTCAAATGTCTCAACAACAAAGTTTGCTACATTGCTCAGGGTTTAACAGATATTACGAGGAACAGATATTACCTTGATCTACAGTTATTCGGAGTTGTTGCATTGAGGAAACGTTGCCAGATACTCTGTACAAGCCATCAAAATCAAGACCTACAACAAAAATAATAATTCCTAGTAATATTAATAACCTTTTTACTTCACAGTGACAAACATACTTGACGAAACAAATTAACTCGGAAATTAGTGAGATTTCTACTTCAACTTGGAACACCGACTGTTTTCGTCGTAAAGAAAACTTAAAAAAAATACTAATTGTACCTGTATATTATATACAACTAGTTTCATATTATTCTGAGTTCTGACACTGCAAAGTACAACGACTCTTCGCGACTTGACATTTCGTGCATTTAAATTGGATAAAACTCGCTACCAATCCACGTTGAATCGACAACTCAATAGCTGAATTCATATTAGAAGACTCGTAACGTTGAAAAGAGAAAGAGCGTCTCCTATTTCTTCGTGTTTACCCGTCTGATGGTTTTCGTTTCATGCCAGACGGAAATCCGTCACACGAGTTTCCCGTCTTAGACGGAAATCCGGTCTTGAAACTAGTTTTTCATATCTCTGAGGATGGTTCTGAAATACCTGTACGTATATAGTATAATTAGAGTTATCCAATATAAACAAAGCTGGAAGTCACAGTATATTCACCTTTATTTTCGATAGCCTCTATGCAGCCTACCACAACTTTGGGAACTTTAGTCTGCTCTCTTAGACACAGTTTTTCAATATGACAACCGAATGTTATATCTAAATAAACAAACATATACACCTTCAACCACTTTTAGTAATTTATATTGACTGCCGAGTAGTCGAGAATAAAGGTCGAGGTCGAGAGTAAAATGCGTTATCGAATACCCTCGACGTCGACTTACTTTCGACTACTTGAAACCCGACAACAATTATGATGATGCAATACAGCCAATTCAAAAAGGTCGTCCTTTGCAAACCTTAAACTATAAACCTTAAACTCTAAGAGCGCAAAGCTTAATGAGAGCACAAGTATCAAGCTTAGTAGTTGAATATTGCAGGTATTTGTGAATGAATTGTTCTCGTAAGGAGATATTTACCATGTCTCTAAGAAATGGGCCCCATATATGTCGTCCTCAGCGGGCGAAACGTAGGGAACGGGCTGTGAACGGGATTTATTTCTGTTAGACGGTGCCATTTTTGGGAGATGAGTGAAACCGATTATTCAGATGCAAGAAGTTCTTATTACCTTTTAGGATTCCTTTCTTTTGTAGTTCTTCGATAGGTGGTCTTCTCGTAATCAGTTTCTTTAATTTATCCCTAATGTTTTTTCTATCTCCATCACCGCGTGCTAAATGTAATTATAATAAATTGTTAAACTAGAGGACACTGGAAGGGGGCGAAGGAGTTTCTCTAAAGTCTGTAAAATATGACAACCCTTTTAACCCTACAGACAGTCTATTCATGAGAAATATTAAGATTCGTACATTTCTTTAGAGATCCTCTTGAGAAACCGGATGATGTTGGTTGAGGTGGTGGTCTTGATATATTCACAATATCACCATATAGCCTAGCTTGCAAACCATTATCTACACAAAATCGATCGATAACATATAATTTTTCAAACATGAAAGGGACTATCATAGTGACGATGTAATACAAGTACAATACAAAATACAAGGACAATTTTAATTTTTTCTGCAGTGAACTGAAAAACTAAAAAGTAAATATCGTACCTACTGGCTCATTTTCCTCCTAAATAATACAATGAGAAACATCATTCATCAATGGACCATTTGCATTATAGACTAAATTTTGATCTAGACAAAAATTTCATCACAGCTTGACAGGGCATCACAAAATTAGTAATATTCCAAAGTTTCGTTACGAAATGTTGTAAAATGCGGATAATATAGCCTTGCGAAATTTGCAATTTTCGGTCATTTTGTATTACGCACGGGAAATTGATGCCCCAACACCCGATTGGGCTGTCAATTTCCCGTGCGTAATACAAAATGACTAAAAAACGGCAAACTTCGCAAGGCTATATTATCCGCATTTTACAACATTTCGCAACGAAACTTTGGAATATTACTAATTTTGTGATGCTCTTTCAAGCTATGATGAAATTTTTGTCTGGATCAAAATTTAGTCTATAATGCAAATGGTCCATTGTATTTTATTGGTACAATAAAAAGAAGTTAACAAGGAGTTAAGATTCACCTCCGGTATGTTGATGATCGCACATGCGAGAACGCAAGAGATGAATATAGTCACAACGAGCTGTGCAGTCAGTCAAGCTCCCAACACAGATTTCTCCCGCCCCTTATCGTCTACTTTTTTGTACCTTGTATTGCAAGCATATAGCTTGTCTCAATATTTACTTGGTGTTGATAGTATCCGTATCCAAGGCAACAAGATCATCGAGGTACTCTGATGCTCAGTGTGGTATTTATAGCTCAGTTTTATGTTCTCCGTTTCTAACGGATGCCTATAGTTGCTATTGGGGATGGATGGGGTACCATTGGTTGGGTAACGATTACAGCGGTGCTAATTTCGCATCCATTTTCATCCAAATTTTACCAAAATTTAATCAGTTTGTCCTTGGGCAATGTCCATTAGTCCAAAAATATTCGTATTAATAGTTACAGATAGAAACTGCCTTTGTTCTCAATAAACTTTCATGTTTGTTAATAAGTATTTGACAGGTTTCAGTCTGCACGTCTTGTCCGTCGGTCGTCGGACTTGTGTATTTTTCCAAATGACACATAAATAAAAGACTTATTAAACTAACCAGATATTTGACAACATCAGCAATCATATGATACCACACGCTAAATTCATGTACGTCATCCACTTGAAGGAGAAAACATAATTTCGCAACCGTAGCAATCTGAAAGGAAAGGAAGGACGTACAAAAGTCTTATAGGTTTAAATGTTGCGAGGCACGGATAAATAAGCAAATCCACCAATCAATGTGAGCTCCACTATCGCCGTAATGAATTGTGATATTAGGCGATACCAGGACGTAATTGGCTTTATAGGGAAAACATGCTAAAATTTGAGGCGATACTGGGGACCAGTATTATGTGATATTATATAGGGTAAAGTAGGCTGCCTGAGTAGCAAATAAACGCCTGCTATGCAGGCTAAAAGTAGAGTAACTTTCATGGCAACAACTAAAATTCGCAGTGATAGGAAGTGTTAAAAAATAAAAGTTACACCACTGAATTGGGAAGAGAGAGAGTACCACGCAACGAACACTAAACGAAAGCTCGTACGATTTTGCGGGTGGTTGTGTGCAATAGTATACCTGCATTATATTTCGCCGTTTGTTCTCGTCAGGCATTTTTTGAATAACTGCGCCTCGTAGGTCGCAACTACTGTCTGGTTGACCATGCGCAAAACCAGGCCGCTACAAAATAAATAAAAAATAATCACTATAAATCGATCTTTATAGTCTATATATAGTTAGCGTACATTTGACTATTCTGGGTAATTAGCACGTATACGTACTTAGAAACACTCCCAATATCCAAAATCCTATAGCTAAGTCCTAAGACCCTGCAACAACTTAAACAACTGATACAATATATTCACTGCCTCGTATCCAGGTGCCTGTAAAATGCCTGTTACATGAAGTATTGTAAATGGCGAGAGGAGCGCGAAGGGGCTGATGGGAAAATTGCACGAAATGCTCCCCCCGACGCACACTTCCCAACAGCCTCTTCGCGTGTCGCCTGCCTGAATACTTCATGTATCCCTAAATAGTATATATCCTTATGAGGTAGATATATTCATGAGAAAAGACCAACACTGCGTTCTCAACACACAGTTGACTCAAGCGGGAATTGAACTGCCATCATATTCAGCGAAGCAGGATTTGAACTCTCGTATTGAAACCCCGCTTGAGTCAATTTTATGTTAACAACGCAGTGTTTTCCCTATGAATATACTAAACAATTAAAGATGCGTTTATACAACTTCGAAGTTTACCGGTTGTGCAGCATTTTGATTTTTATACATGATCATGTTTGCTGATGATAACTTTACATAACAAGGGCTCCACGTTTTTCTAAAATAACGGTAGACATAATATTACGCGGCAAGTAAATACTGTTTCAGGTTTAACCACAACTAACCTATAGGAAATACTCTATTGTGATGACAACGGGGTATTTGCTATGTTGCCTCTGGTTGAACATTGATGCAGGCCATCAGCCCTGGACAAACGATGACGAGAAATGACGAGAGTTGATAAAGTTTGTCACAAGTTGCGACTCTCACGCTTGTCTAACCACGAATTCTTGCCAACTCCCGCATGTCAGTTAACTAAATCAACTTTGAGCTGCGTAAAATTTTAAAGACAGAGAATTAACGAGAGTTTCGGCTCGTTTGAACTCTTGTCATCGTTTGACCGGCTTACGATACTGATAAGAGTTGAAAGAATCATCACGCAAACCCTGTCTGCCAAACTCCCGTGCTGGCCTGCATAGTAAGCGTTTGTTTCGCCCCCATTCCTTTTCGCGCACATACGTAGCACTCCCATGCCCAAAACTGCTCGTGTGATTCAACTATATTTATGTTGTGACACAGGCTACAATTTTCAATCTGGTATATTTGCAGTTTCAATTACATCAGTAAACAATAAAACAGAATGAAAAGAAGGCTTACTTGGCTTTCTTTCCACCTTTCTCGCAAAGTTTCTTACGATTGATAATTCCTTCTTTCTTGATAGACTAAAGAAAGAATAAATAATTTTCTTCTCTGGTGTTGTGTGGGTGACTTTCCATATACATGTCCTACAATGACGTCACAATAATTTTGGTGTACAGATTTATACATTAGTAGTACTATAGGTTACTGGTTAGGAATAGGGTTGCATGGGGTTAGCCTAATATCAGGGCACATAATAGAGACTATACAGAAGCGGCCCAACTTCTTGGTTTTTCCTATGATTTTGGCTTAACCGTAATTCGTCATCAAAATGCTGACGCCATGGTCCTAGCCAGTGAGCTCATGAAAGCATTCACCCCCTGATAATATTCAAAATGGCGGACGTCCAGGGAGGAATGCCTCTTATAAGCGAACTGGCTTGGACCATGGCGTCAGCATTTTGATGACGAATCATGGCGTGGCAGGGTTAGGCAAGGTCGCATTTTGAGAGGAGGTGTGAGGAGGTGCGCGCCTAACCCTGGGATTTTTGGAACCTCTCCTGGAAATTCATGCATCTCTCCTTGAAAACCTCAAATGACAGATCAACGTCAAAATTTGACTTAACAGTTAACCTTAATATTTGTTAATTCTTTGAAATTCAATACACTTGTAACAAAGATTTTTCATAAAATTGAAAAAGTGAGAGTCAATCTTCTCTGCATGTGTCAATTACCCTTTTAATTTAATGCCATGCATGTTTCTAAAGAAGCTTTGTACTCATCCAATTTTGCCCCTCGTTACAATACTCACTGACAATGCATGCCTACGACACATAGTTGACTTGCTGGGGGCTACTTTCTGAGCGCTAACATCCCAGAGAGTATGTGGAACAGACCGCAACACCTCCCCTAAAATATTTTCCACTTCCCCCAACATTTCCACCGAAATCCGGCTTTGGTGTTAGGATGCAAGATTGGGATGAGGATTGTGAGGACTAGGCATAATACAAGGTACTTACATAATCTAAAGCAGGAAGATTAGGTGGTGCTGGAAATTCATCTGAAAGTACCAATGAATTTCTCGCTTGGTCTGACGGCGAGCGTTGATGCCCCTAATAACAATATGGACGTTATACAGTGTTACACAGTGAAACTTTTGCTGCAACCTGTGGTCTATACAACGCAATTTCTTACAAGGACCGATACTTTTGACATAAAAAACTCAACTAAAAACTGAACATGCATAGCCCTCGTTTACTGAGCACATATTTTACCATGAAAAAGCAAAACGTCGCTAGAGTAAAGTAGAGACTTTGTTCACAATTTCTCTGCGAATACTTCTTACATAATATAACTTCGTTTCAGAAACTGCGTTGCAAGTTGCAACAAACATTGCTTCGTGCATCCTCGGCTAGAACTACAGGGTGTCTCAAAAAAAAAGGAGACCTTTAGAAATTATCCTATTGTTTTAGTTTGAATCCCTGAGCATTATGCTGAACACACGGATGTGTAGAGGTGCATATATTAAAAAAGAAGACCGTTAGAAATTAGCACATAATCATATATTGAACGAAACCAAAAACTTTTACATAACTCCATGCATAAAATTCATTTCAATTGTGCGTTTACGCACCCATGGCTATGGGTTCAGTATAGGACTCAGGCCCCCTTTACACGAGCCCGGGCTGATTTTCAACCCGGGTCAGCACGCCACAGGTGGTTATTTTTTTATTCTGTTTACATGAACCCGGGTTGACGACCATTTTTGCCAACCCGGGTCAGCAATTCTCAACCCGGGTTGACTCGAGTAATATTCCGAGCAACAGACTGGAGCAGAGTGTATTTTTGACGCTTATATCCCTTAAAATCCCTTATAGACCTGATACGATATTATTACGATTTATATACCTTTTAGTTTTGGCGCTTATATCTTTCAGTATACGATTAGGCGATATCCCTTTTTATCAAGGATTTAACCGTATAGCAACTTAATTCTGCCTTAAAGGGGGTTTCTTCCCTTTTTGATAGCTTCTCGTTATTTTGTACTGGAAGATCTACTGGGCAAAAATATTCGGCATCGAACGCCAACGCCCGACCTTCGCGCAACTTTGAATACAACTGCGACAACATCGGAGTTGAAATCTACATATTTATAATTCATCTCCGTCTTATAATCCTTCAGAGAAAGGATTAGGTGATCAATAATTTCAGACCACCACTGAAACGCGGGTTGAGCATTTTTTCTTTTGGTTTTGGACAGTCTTTGCTCGCCATACTGTATGATTTTACATGTCTGTACTAAACAGAGACGAAGAAAATAAGCACGCAAAATGTTGAAATGCGATACGACGCTAGGTGCAAAGTTCAAAATCAGGAATTTACCGCAGTTTACATGATCCCGGGTCAAGCCAACCCGGCTTTACATGAAGAAATGAGTAAACTTTTCACGCGTTCACACCTCGCCAACCCGGGTCGACCCGGGTCTCGAGAAGGGTGCCCCGGGTTGGCGAGGTGTGAAAGGTTGACCCGGCTATCGTGTAAACGCTAATAGAGATTTATTCGTAGACGGGTTGACCCGGGCTGGCAAGCCAACCCGGGTTGATGGTCAACCCGGGCTCGTGTAAAGGGGGCCTCAGGCATTCATATTATAACAATAAGGCATAGTCTGTCAAGATATGATGGTCTGGAAACACGGCAAACTTCAAAGCCACAAAATAGAAGAGCTTTGTTTGATGTTGAACTGCACCTCACCGTGCACAAATCCTTTGTCTCAACTTCATTAAATATTATTCATCCTGGTTGCACTTTCATCTCAGCTATCCTTATTGGACGGTTACTTCATTATACGAAAATACAATGAGTTCAATCACCATGACCGTGCACAAATTAACATAAACTCCGACAAAAACATCAAACAATGATTTATGTTTAGTTGCCAGACCACCATATCTTGATAGACTATGAATAAGGTGAATTTCTGAAGGTATACTTTTTTTTAGACACCCTGTACATTATCGTGCAAGTTAACGTTATGAAACCTAATCCCTTACTTGACAAGGACCCTCCAACCTACGACTAAAATGGTCGGTTGTCAGAGTAAATAGGGTTGAATTTCCTGGTTAATGGATTTCAGCTATAGACTAAATTTTGATCTCGGCAAGAAGAACAAAATCAATCACCACAGCTAGGAAGGGCATGTTAAAATTAGCAAAATAAGGAAAATATAGCCCTATACGAAATTCGCAAATTTTGTATTAATTTGTATTACGCGCGGAAAAATGCACCACATTTGGGCCGAAAGTAACCTGAATACAGACTTTGCCCGCCGAAAGTGGTGCATTTTCCCGCGCGTAAAACAAATTAATACAAAATTTGCAAATTTCGTATAGGGCTATATTTTCCTCATTTTACAACATTTCGCGGCCAAACTTTGCAATTTTACTAATTTTAACATGCTCTTTCTAGCTGTGGTCATTGATTTTGTTCTTCTTGCATAGATCAAAATTTAGTCTATAGCTGGAATAATCCATTTGATCACTATCGTGGATAATTTAACCAGGATTCCTGGCTATATGGTTGAATTAACAAGATTATGTTAGGTGGATTATTAACCAAGACTATTTGGTTAATAGTTTTGGTTATAGAGTGTTGGCTAAAAAGCCACGTTTTCGCGATTGAGATATTGGGTTTAGAGCTCTTTATCTTGTTACAGGTGACGCATTTACGAAACCATACAGTTATATCAGGCAATATAAAAGACATTCAGAGTTACCGAAAATGAACATTTAAGTTTGTATTGTATTCTGTAAAAATACTCAAAAAATGACCCGTAATTAAATGAAAATTAGTTAAATTACAATAATTAGTAAAGTGCATGAGTGCGTCTAGTATTAACTTTTTGGTGCAATTAAAATTAAATTGGTGCAATTGCTTGCATCTACTTCAATGGTAGAAGCAGGCGCAAAGATGACACTTGAACAAAGAAATAGTAATACCTTAGCAAAGCTGCTCATTTCTGCAGCGGGATTTTTGAGTGAATTTAATCCGGCAAGCATTGATGCAGATCTTGAACTGCGAAGATGTAAATGTGGTGATTTATGTCGTAAATTAACCACACTCTCTGAACCTTCTGAGAGCATCCGAGATCTTGGTGTTAATTTACGTTTATCTCGCTAAACAAGAGAGAACACACTTGGCTTGAATTTTGCTTTGGAAAACAGAGCATCAACGTCCGGAAACAAAAATCATTGTCCATGCAAGCTTTGTTAAAAACATTATGCATCATCTGTTGTGTTGAGTATAACGTCCTTTGTTAAATTTTATTTCCATGTCTCGGTTTTTGAGATATTTCGTACGCAACGCTACCAACCTGACGTCATACATGAATGTTTCAAGGCCCCTTTCCCCCATGGAAAAATTTCCACGGACAAAAAATGTTCCAAAAATATCATTGTTTCTTTGCCCATTTCCACTCAAGAAAAATTCCCAAGGACAGAAAATTTTCCGAAAATATCATTGTCTCAAGGCCCATTTCCACTCAAGAAAAATTTCCACGGAGAGAAAATTTTCTTAAAAGTTGAAAATTTTCAAAATAGATTTGTGTGTAGGCCAATCTCATTTTACAAAATTTTCATGAGTGGAGTTTCACTGATAGCCTGATTGGTTGCCGTCGAAATGGCGGCCGAAGCCGTTTTGTCAATTACGAAGAAATGTGTATTTTTTTTCCAAATAATCACCTATGGAATTATACTAAAACAATTATTCACCTTAGGCTCGGTGATTATCGTGAATAAAAACCTCGACTTCGTCTCGGTTTTTATTCATCGATAATGGGTCCTACTAAATACTGCCCGGAGCGCCCGGGGACGCCCGGGGATGCCCTGAAGCGCCCGGGAGCACGTGAGAACGCCCGGGGATAGACAAGATAATATAAATCAGTGCACGATCCTTTTTGAGTCTCTATGAGGCATTATATTAATGAAAAATAATATTAAAAGTGATT